TTTCCTTTCCAAACAAACATGAGAATCTCTGATGCAAAGTTACTGATGTCCTGATGACACAGGCATCTGTTTTGATTCTTCTCACTGTAGTGGAAATACGTATTATTTTTTGAGGAAAGTTTAGGTGCAGGTGAAACCATCTAGAATAAAACAAGTGTACAGGTTTAGGAAAAGCAATTAGGATTACTATTAGAAGTTAATTAAAGAAATGTTACTTATTCTGAGTTGCTAAAGCTGCGTTTGGAAAAACACATAAAAATAGACACCAAATGTTTTATTTCCTGTTTGTAAATTGTTTATCTTAAAATGCTGAATCTGGATTTTGATGTCATGATTCATGCTTTTGTGAATAGGTTTTTTTTTTCATTGCTGTACATGAGCTTATAGTTTGGAACAAATCAGAAATTGTTGCTGAGGCAAAATCAAATGTTCCATTTAGCAAATGGTGTTTCAGAGAGGATATTGCTCTTTTGCTCTATTATTTGCAGCCAGCTAGGAGGTAGTTGGTTGATGATGTTCAAAGAATTGTTTTGACAGATAAACTCCAAAATAGTTATCAGTCCTGGATGATAGAAAGTTCTGTGCTTTCTCCTTTTTTTTATTATACAAATGTTGTTGTGTTGAAGTACTTGAGTAATGAATACCATTTAAAGAAAAATGGTACAATGAATTTTCCTCAGACTTGATGATTTTGTCATACTACAACTTGCCTATTTTCCATTTTTCTTCAGGGAAAAAGGAAAAGTGACTATGAGTGGAGTAGAATTAAATCTGCATTTAGAAAATGGTTTTATTTTCCAGAGGTGTTTTTCCTATTGTATCACTTGTGCTCATAACTGCTGTTAATTTAACTTTTTGTGAACTTAACTTTTTAAAAGGCTTGTTTTGAAAATAATTGAGGAAAGTGCGTGCCAACCACTCTGGGAAACATGGTGTCTGCATCTGGCTGTTAGGGTATGAGTGATGGCTATTAATCCATGATAATGATATTTATATCTTCTGAATTACATCTTTGGGAGACAAAATAAATTCTATATGTGATAGAAATAATTCCTTGGCTCTTTTTACCCATTTTTTTTTTTTTTTTGAAATTGGTATATCTGAACATGGTTTCTATGCAGGAAAAATAAATAATGTATGTAATTTTGGAGATGTGCAAACCCACATAAAACAAAGTTTCTTTTATTTGTAATTTCTTTCCTTTTCTTAATTTGTAATTTCTTTAACAAATCCCATTTTTAAAGACTACTGTTTATTACTATATGCAGATATTACTAGAAGAAAAAAGTTGCTACCTTCTAAAGAGAACTGCTAAACAATTGCCCGATACAGTGTGCCCCTCTCCCCTCTCTTTCTGTTGTTTAATGAGTTCTATTCCCAGAGTTAGGGTAAAATATTTCATAATAATGCTGTAGGATTTCAAAGCCAAGAATTGCCTATATCTGATTTTTCTTTTTTACTTCAATAATCAATGAAATCTCAGTCTTGCAATAACCCCCTTTCAGAGCGGCATCGATATCCATTGCTTCAGAAACACTCTCTCTTCCTGTTCATTATTGTGGCTCTTGAACAAAACCTAATTGCCCGTTGAAAATATATTGCTTAAAAGTGCCCTCATCTTTCCTTGCTTTTGTACTTGCTTCTCCTTCTCTTACAATTCCTTTGCCATTTTAATGATTGTAATCAAAATGTTAATGTAATGTTTATTTTAAATTATTCTGGCTATAAAAAGATTCAGGAGTTATAATAACCATCTGTGAGAAATTCCTTGAAGTCTTTTTGACAAATTATGTGTTTTGCTTAAAAGTCATTACTGATGGAAAAGTCAGCACTGTTAGAGCAAATACTCATAACTTAGATCTTGAATGGTGTTTATTCAAGGTCATTACAATTTCTGCAGAATGAAGGCAAATTAATGGAGAGGTCAGCAATTACATTACAATATGTACATACTAACCAAGTGGAAATGCTTACATGGGGAATTTCAGAGAACCTTTGAAAGTAAGGTGTTAAACCAGCATGGATCTCTGAAACGGTAAACTTTAAAATTTGTTTTCATTCAGTCTTTACAAAAGAAACAGTGCATCACATACATTATATATTATTCCCACATACATTATATATTATTCCCATTAGTTCAATTTCACATGAAAACGTTACAATGTGAGCCTAAATTTCAATACAGAGATTCTCCGCTTTTCGGACTTAGCACTGTGACAATGATGTCTTGTATTCTCTGTCAGGTGAACAGGAGACATGATTTTCTTATTATTGCTGTTGTTTTTTGTTTGTTTGTTTGTTTTCCGGTTTTGTACCCACATACAAAACCTCACCGTGTATATAATGGCAATTTTGAAAAAAAATGAGTGCTCTTGAGTGAGCTTTCTTAGATAACTAGTTGCCCTACTAATGGTATGAGTGAAGATTCTGCCATGTCACTCTGTTCCTGTTTATAGCAGCTCTCAATGTCTAACAGCAGCTAACAATGTCTTATTTTCTTCTGATTTCTCTGTTTGCCACTAAAAAATTACAGCACATATGCTTATTGTTCTTGGGTTCTCAGTTACTTACAGGCTTCTTGACCCCAAGCCCATAAGTAACTGAGTACATTTCTTCCAGGGATACTGAATGATTTATGTGGTGTGTGAATTTTCTTTATGTAAAATTTCTAAAAAATGCAAGCAGACCTTACTTTGACTTTTTGTAATTCAAATTTTTAGTTCAAAATTATGCTTCATCTTGACTTTAATCGCTTTGAAATATATTCCAAATATATCAGCACCAAAATAAAATAGATTTCCAAATATTTTGGAGTCATATTGAAAAGCCCCATCTCATGCTAACCTGAAACAATATTTCTATTCAACTTTTGCAACTGAAAGTTCTTTTCTCACTGAAAGCAAATGCCGTTAATTGTGCAACTCTGCTGGCAAGTTTTTAATCCAAATTAATCTCTGCTTTGCTTCTTCAAGAAATGTAATCTTTGTGTGCTACAAGCTGACCAGAGTCCTACTCAGAAATACTGATCTATTGTAAGGATGGCATGGCCAATGTTTTCAGACACAAGAACTGTAACCTAAAGCTCTTGTAATTACATTTCTAATAGGTTGTGCTTAGAGTCTAATATACAGAACCCAAGCATCAGCAGAAAATGAAAACCATTTGTTCCTTCACTGACTTTCCTATATTCAAGCAGCAAATAAAACTCCATTTTTAAAGAACATGAAAACATTCCACCAAGTTTGCATAGGTAAATAATTAAAGTCAAGAATGAAAAATGAAAGAGAAATATCAAAGAAAAAAAAAAAAAGTCACAGAATCATAGAATGCTTAAGGTTGGAAGGGACCTCTGAGGTCATCTAGTCCAACCCCCTGCTCATGCAGGGTCACCTAGAGCACGTGGCACAGGGCTGCGTCCAAACGGGTTTTAAAGATCTCCAAAGAAGGAGACTCCACAACCTCTCTGGGCAGCTTGTTCCAGTGCTTGTTGTCACCCTCACTGTCAAGAAGTGTTTTCGTAAGTTCCTGTGGAACTTTTGGTGCCTCAGCTTGTGGCCGTTTCCTCTAGTCCTATCACTGGCCACCTCTTTTCAAGAGGCCGGTCCCCTCCTCCTCACTGTCTCCCTTGAGGTATTTATACACACTGATCAGGTCCCCCCTCAGCCTCCTCTTCTCCAGGCTGAACAGGCCCAGCTCTCTCAGCCTTTCCTCAGAGGGCAGATGTTCCAGGCCCCTGATCATCCTGGTAGCCCTGCACTGGACTCCCTCCAGTAGCTCCACATCCCTCTTGTACTGGGGAGCCCAGAACTGGACACAGTCTCCAGATGCGGCCTTACCAGGGCTGTGTATAGGGGACGACCACCTCCCTTGACCTGCTGGAGACGCTCTTCTTAATGCACCCCACGTTCCCGTTGGTCTTCCTGGCCACCAGAGCACGCTGCTGCCTCACGGTCATCTTGTCATCCACCACGACATCGAGGTTCTTCTCTGCGGGGCTGCTCTCCAGCAGGTCCACCTCTAATCTGTGCTGGTGTCCAGGGTTATTCCTCCCCAAGTGCAGGACCCTGAACTTACCCTGGTTCAACTTCATGAGTTGAACCAGGGTAAGTTCAGGGTCCTGCACTTGGGGAGGAATAACCACGTTGTCCAGTCTGTCCAGGTCCCTCTGGATGGCAGCACAGCCCTCAGGGCTATCAGTCAGTTGTGGCTATATGTGTATGTTAGTCTATAAAATCTATGATAGGACAGCACACTTTTAGTAGACACATCTTTTAATAGGCATTATTAAAAGATTAGATTACAATACAATTAGAATATTGTATTTTTATATGTATATTGTATTTATATTTATTTATATTTACATATATTATTTATATCTTTTTTTTATATATCGTATTTATCATATTTATATATATTTAATGCAACTATTGATAGGAAACTAACTTGAATTGAAAGTATGATATCGTATTAGGAAACTTTAGCTTGAGAAAAACTTTTGGAAACTTTTACCTATTTTTTTAAACTCTGTAATTCCCTAGGAAAGGTTTACCTAAATTAGAGTGATAAATATTAATGTGATAATGTAGGGATTTTTTTTCCCTCATAGTCAGTGACATGAATGTTTAAACACAGTATGTTGTTAAAGTTGGAGAAATCAAGTTTAAACATATGAATCAATTTGTAAAGGTACCCTCTTGATCAGTAATGGGCTGCTCTCATTTTACTGGTGTCAAGTGTATTTATCCACAATAAAAGGACTGTTGATTACTGCATGGTTTGTATGCAGGTTAGTGTTCAGCATCTGCTTTTCGGTGATGGTTGTAATAGGAATGATTACAGTAGCTTCACTCCAGGATGGAACATCATGATTGATGCTGTATCGAGGAGAACATGGAATCTCCTAATGACTTTAATAGTGTCTATTTCTTTGTGGAATTTCTTTTCATTTTCTTAAAACAACGGGAACGTTACTGATTGTATAACCTTATCTCCTGTCTCAGGTCTCCTAGAAACCCTGAACAGAAGATCATTAAACGAGTGATTGCACTTGAAGGAGACATTATCAAGTAAGTATTTTAAGCCCTAGTCTCTGAGTCTTTATAGGAATAGTGCAGCTTTTCAGTGGATTTTAAATCAGTATCCTAGACAACGAGAACTTTCTAGTATTTTCTTTCTATCTGTTCTTAACAGGGATGTCAGCAATGTACCTGTCTCCTTTTCTAATGAGAGGAGAAATGGTACACAAAACTACTTACTCTCTCATTAAAAGCTACAAGGATACAAATAATATTTGTTGTTTAGAATATCTTTACCACATACCATGACAGTTAATTGTACAGCATTTTTTTTAATAAGTCAATATTATAGGACTGTGTTTCTTCAGTTAGAGAGTCCAGTTGCTGTTTCATACAGTGATTGGCAAATAAAAAGTTGAATTTTGGGGGTGGAGTGGTTGTTTCTTTCTTTTTAAATTATTATTATTTTTGTTTTAGAGAAAAAAAATGCTCCTAGATGACTGCCTGTCACTGCAGTCTCTAGGAATTTGTAAGGAATATGGTGGAACTGATTTGGCATAGATTATTCTGTGAGAAACATTTCTAGAAAGGGTAAACTCTAGAGTACTTAAAAGCTTAAAAGTCTTTCAGATAGACCCTACTATTTGGGAAGTTGTTTGGAAATGAATTGCTAGTAGATGTAAATCAGAAGTTTTCATGGAAAAGCTATCCTTTTGATGAAAACTCTTTTTTTCAATGGATTCTTTTCCTAGGTGAATAAAGTTGGGAGTGTAATTACCTAGTTTCCCACATTAGCTCTGGATGTTCTGGGGAACTCAGGCATCATGCAGATTGAGGTTCAGTGCATTTAAACAATGCTTCTTGCTCTGGTGTAGTACTTGGCAACTGAGATTCAAGTCAAGGATTTAAGTGTGGTCTCAATGAACTCTGGTTATTATTGGCACTCATGCACAGTATGGGATATGCCTATGTCCTTTTGTTCCCCTTTCCTATTACAATCAGTATCACTTCTCTTTTAATAAGAATTTCCAAATAATCTCAGTGTGAGAAATAAAAATAAATTCTGGCATTTCTGTTGTAACATAAAATCTAAAATAACAGGCAGTAAGAAGAGATCTCAACATCCAAAGACTAATACTTGATATCACTTTAGACAAAAAAAAAATAGAAATATTCTGAGCTATTGGGTGATGCCTTTTATAATCCTAATTCCTTAAGAAGTTGCTTGTTTTCTTGACACAGGTGATGCTGATGCTGTAATTCTTGTAAGCGATGAGTGGCATTTGCAATTCAGTATTCCTGATTCATTTCTGTAGCAATGTCAGAAAGAGATAGCAATACAAAGCCACTTCAAGTGTTACTTTCCATTGTTCTGTATTATTAACATTTGTCAGATTTTTAATAGAGGCTTTTTTAAAATAACACTAAAGATGTTTAATAACTTAATTTGCAACTGTAGGAAATTAATTATATTGTATGCTTAAGTACCTGAAGACATTGAACTTTTCATTAACTTCTGTGGGTCTTTTCAGCCAACTGGGAAAAGCTGTGGGTGCATATTAACTATGTAAGTGTATACAAAATACTGAAGAGACTGTAGGTTAGTGTATTTCTTGTAAGTACAGAAAAATGTGTGATGGTCTCGGGTAAAACTGGTAAAGTTGGTTTATCGTTAACAACAGAAATGTGGAAATGTGGAAATGTGAATAATTCAGATGTTCCTTTTTTTTTTTTTCCTCTTTGATCAAATGAAAATTGTCCTATAGTTTTTGCTTTGTCTGTAGAAATTAGTTTATTAAAGAACATATTATGGAGCTGTTGACTTTTTACTGTATATTGTTTCTTAATGGTGTATGTGTAACAGTGTATGAGCAATACTTGCGTCTTTTCACAGCATTAGAATGAAGCAAAAATTTACATAATAAACTGACAAATCTACATTTTTTTCTGAATTATGATTTATTTTATACCTATATATTTCTAAACATTTTCTAAGCATTATATTATTCCTTATCAGCATAATACTATGCATTACGCATAATACTGTAGTTGAAACTGTAAGTCTATGGCGTTTTTAAAAACAGTATATTCAAACGGATTAGAATGCATTTCTTCCATACTATTTTGGATCTTTTATGGCGTGGGTGGGATGTGATGATCTTAGAGATCTGTGCTGATCTTAGAGAAACATTGAAACAACCTCGCTTCTAATATCGAGTCTTTGAAGTAGACGGTGTATGCCTGTATTCTATAAATACACTTCTTTAAGCCTGCTCCGCTGATCAATCAGAATTGCAACTTGCAGAAAGACATCTGGTGTCACTGCAGAGGTTACTGCTACCTCCTTTCTCTCACTGAAAGAATGGGGCTGAAGTGCTTGCGCTTGTGGCAGGCATGGGAGTAAGGATCTTCTGCTTTTGATTGTCCTTATTCAACAAGAGAATTGAAAATGTACCAATATACTTAGCACAACTGTGCATTCACATTGTGCTAATGCCCATGCTGGAAACTTGGTAGCAGAGCTAAAAGTCATTTTGAGGGTATGGAAAAGTGGGATTCATCAGTTGGATCTGGTGGCTTATGGGGCAACCTGTGGGGATAACAACTTTGCAGAGAGCTAGTTGTGTAGACAGATGTACTGTGTAGAGCATTTTATTTAGAAGGTCAGTGAAATGTGCAGTATATCACGTGTAAGTGGAGCAGACATCTATTGTGAAAAGAGCTTTTCAAACAACTGTGAATTGGAAGATATTTTCATGTAGCAGTCCAATAGAGGGATAGTAGATATTGGAGTCTGTAGATCTATGCTTTCCTAGATGAATGAAGTATATGCATGTTATTTGGTGCATCAATAGGAAAGAACTGTCCCAAGAATACTGTGTTGTCTCCTGTTAAGTAAAAGGAAACACTAAGCATTTTACTATTTGTAAAAGTGCTACATTTTAAAAAAAGTAATGACTAAATAATTTCAGTTTTTGAAAATATATGTGAATCCAATGGCTCCAATCTGACCCCATTCCATCCCTTTATTTCATATTTTTCTTGTAGTGATAAATTATGGAGCATATAATACATCACATTCTGAAACATGCGTTTAGAGACTGAAAAATCACAGAATCACAGAATGCTTAAGGTTGAAAGGGACCTCCAGAGATCATCTACTCCAAGAAAGACATTGAGGTTCTGGACCATGCCCAAAGAAGGGCAGTGAAGCAGATGAAGGGGCTGGAGCACAGACTTTACAAGGAGCAGCTAAGGGAGCTGGGCTTATTTAGTGTGGAGGAGACTCAGGGGAGACCATATCCCTCTATCTGAACAGAGCTTGTGGTGAGGCAGAAGTTGATCTCTTCTCCAGAATAACTACAGATAAAAGAAGATGAAATGGCCTCAAACTTGAGCCATTGTGCCAGGAGAGGTTCAGGTTAAACATTAGGAAGAATTTCAACACAGAAAGAGCAGTCAAGCATTGGAGCAGGCTGTCCAGGGAAGTGGTGGAGTCGCCATCTCTGGCAGTGTTCAAGAAACGTACAGATGAGGCACTTAGGGACGTTGTTTAACAGGCATAATGTTGAAGGGCAAGTTGGACTTGATGATCTAGGAGATCTTTTCCAACCATAATGATTCTGTGAATCTATGATGATTCTAGGTAGCATCTTCTAAATCTCCAGAAGATTATAGTACACCTAAATAATGTACTAGATTTGGATACCTAGTAGGACTTTTTTCTTAAAAGAATTTAAGGAATAGACAGAAAATCACCATTTAATCCTTGAGAAAGGATGCTGTAGGTCAAGCTGTAGACAGATAATATTGCAGAACAAAATCTCATAAATGAAGTTTTGTTTTGTTTTCCATGAAGACACCAGGAATTAACTTTTATGTAGGAAATCATTATCATGTGTTCTGAAGACTATTTAAATGATAATTCTTTCAAGAAAGGCTTCTTTCAAAGGTCAATATAATCTAAATTATTAAAAATGTTGGTGCTACAAAGCAGCTTGTATATCTTGAAAATTAAACATACTGAAACTCATTTATCTTAAATGCATTAGAGGAAATGCAAAAATCTATAATACTCTATCACAGATGGTTGAGTTATAGTATGTTTTCAGTAACTCAGATAAATGGAGGTTTACGAGAAGGAAACAAATATTAAAATTGGATGTTAACTAGTAAAATTTAAAATTATGTCCATGCATTAAGTTGCTGTACTATTTCTTTTCCCTTTTCTGTCTGGCACAGTTTCCCAGATCTGCAAGTCTGGTGGAGTCTGTTTCTCTCATATTGTTGGTTGTTTCTTAACGTTGTAGCTGATTTAGGACCCTTAGAAAGCACAGGTTTTAAAGTTTCTTTTTTTTTTTTTTTTTTTTTTTCCAGGGATTCTGTTAGACTATTAGGAATCAGTGTTCAGAATACTGAATAGTTAGGCAAAACAATTTGTATTCAACTGCTGCATCTTTCAGAAAAAAAAATGGGATGAAGACCTGAATAAGGAAATAGCTCTTCCCTATTTCAGAGCAGGGAATGTAAGTGTGAAAGTGCAGAGGTAGGTCATGAAATTATTAGACTGTAAGTCTAAAATAAACAAAAGCAACTATCTACTTTTACTCATAGTAAAAATTTACTGAATTTTCTCAAGGTGCGTCGTCAAATTGTGAAAACTACAAAGGGTGATGGGCAGGCCAAAGACATAAATGGACTGAAAAAAAAGTAATTGAGAAATAAAGTCCAACAGCACTTATTAAATGCAGTGATCACAATACAACTTCATCTACTCTTGTGGCGAGTTCATACAGAGGTCTTCCCACCGCCCCCCCCCCCCCCCCCCCCCCCCCCCCGCTCCCATAAGACTATGACCAAAATCTGGTCATTCTGTCTCTTTTTTGGAGAACCCTTTTAGCTTTGAGCAAACTGTTAGCTACTCTATATGGATTTTCTTGTTGCTATTTTCACCCCCCTTCTCTCCTCCCTATCCCACCTCAGAGAAAGAAGGTGTGATCCAGGTTTTCAAATATGAAAAGAAAAATCAAGACCTTTTTTTACATTGCTGA